CCACGCTCGCCACGTCGAGCAGTGCGGACGTTTATGATATGATGTACCCAAATAAAAAACCTGCCTCGGATAACCGAGAACCCCCCAAAAAAAGTAGACCCACCCAGTCAGGAAGGTCCGGTCTGTCCTCGGACAAGACCAAGCAAGCCAGCGGTGCAAAGTCTGTGGCCAAGCCAGGGCTGAGCATACGCTCTGTCCCCTCTGGGACTGCCTCAACGGCATCGAGGCCCCCTTCCGGCAACCGGTCTAGCCATGTCCCTAGACAAGCTAGTGAGGATTTTAATCCGTCCGGTGCTGGTAGCAGACCCACCCTCGCAGATAGGTCTTCGGGAGGCAAGGGCAGCCCTGTCACAAGACAAGCTAGCCCTGCTGCCGTCCCCGCCACTTCAGGAGACAAGGGAACATCGACAGGTGCAATCCCTAAAGCGGCGTCGGCGACATCAGACCGCATGGCTAAGCCAGCGGCCTCTGAGGTGCGCCATTCTGGCACTAATGTAGCGATGGGCAGTAGCCATCCCCAGAAGCACATTAGTGCATCAGAAAGGTGCTATCGTACCAGACGGTCAGCCCTCAGAATCCTGGAGAGACTGAGGGATAAGAAGCCAGAAGAACTGACCGCAGAAGAGCTGGACTCAAGAAATTGGGCCGAAAAGTTTATGGCTGAACACCAGGCGAAAGCCAAACAAGAGTCTGCTCAAGGCAAGCGGAAGTCCTCTAGGGAGCTAAGCTCGGAACCCAAGAGAACAAGGGTATCCGCCTTTTTAACAGCGGACGAGCTGCAGAAAAGATCCTTCGCGGACGCGGCGAAGGACACATTTACCAGGGCTGTGATAGACCGCAGCTCACTTGATGGTGCAATATCACCACAAAACTGGGACCTGGTCAACAGGCGACTCTGGGCCGTCTATAAGGAGGTTCTAGGGGAAAACCCAGGACCACCCCCCCCAGTTGTGCGGACGCCGGTTGGTTCCAAAACCGCGTCAAATTAACAAGGTGCGCGGACCAGAGATCCGTCGACCTATACACCCTGGCCATCAGTCGCGTAGGCGAGGTCTGGCCGGGTGCACGCCTTGAGGCGATAAAGCGGGAAGACATTCCCAATCGGCCCAGATCCAGGGCCTGGATTCCAGACTTCCACACCGACCCACAGGAAGTGCTGGAATGGATACGTATGGGCAACCCCGAGCTACCCACCCACGACTGGAAGGTAGCAAAGATAGGCGATATCGATGGCAAGCGAAGGTTAGCGGTAATAGTCCTCAACGAGGAATCAGTAGAACCGCTAGCCAACCAAAACTGGAGGATAAATTATGGCTTCCAAGCCTTGAACCTCCATGTTTATCGGCAGGACGTGTCAGGGAAACAACACCCTACCGACGAAGCGAGCGCAGTGGAAAGTGCTACTGACGACGAAGTGGCATCCACCTCCGGAATGGTCGGCGAACTCTTCGAGAGGGTGACTCTAGAAGAGGGGGCGGGGGACCACTCCGACTTTTCCGACACCATGGTGGAAGGAGAAAGGGAGGATATCCTCCCCCTTTCTGACGAAGAGGACGTCAACCGGACTGTGGTTGGCTGTCCAGCAGCAGCACGCGAAACTGATGGTGGAGATAGTTCAGATTAATCTCCACCACTGCAAGGCGGCCTCAGCCGCACTTCTCCTCCGTCTCGCCGAAAGAGAAGAGGAGATCGCACTCATCCAGGAGCCTTGGGTCATAAAAGATCGGGTTTGTGGATTGAATATGAAGGGATACAAGCTGTTCTATGTAACTGACAAAGGTAAACCCAGGTCGTGCATATTGATAAAAAAGTGTATTAATGCATTTCTCTTGATACAGTTTAGCGATGCGGACAACGTCATCATAGCAGTGGAATCAGGCGGAATGTCTATTTGGCTGGCTTCCACATATATGGCCCACGACGCAGAAACATTACCTCCACCACAATCCTTAAGGAGCGCGGTAATGGAGGCCTCTAGACGCGGCACTCCGATGGTCATAGGAGCGGACGCGAATGCCCATCATCACATATGGGGCAGCTCAGATACAAATGAACGCGGTGAGTCGATATTCGAATTCATTATGTGCAATAACTTACAGGTTAGCAACGTAGGTGATACCCCTACCTTTGTGACGTCTGTTAGAAGGGAGGTCCTTGACATTACATGTGTCAATGAGCAGGGGGCAGAACTCTTGAATGACTGGAGAGTCTCAAAAGACAACTCCTTTTCGGATCACATGTACGTCGTTTATAACCTATACGTACCAGTAAGAAAACAACAAGCGGTCTTAAACCGCAGAAAAACAAATTGGAAAAAATTTGAAACAATATTTTCTAATAATA